CAGAGAAGGCTCATCAGGTTTCAGGCATTATCATATAAAGGAAACAACCACCTCCCCCCAAGAAGTATTATCTGGTTGAAAAACACGCGTTTGGTTCCATCCCTGAGATAATTGAATATCACAGGCACAATGCAGCAGGTAGGTGAGCTGTTAGAACCCATTTCAATAGAGGGAGCGGGGTCCAATAATCAGGCATTGTGATGAGTTCTTCCCTGAGCAGTTGTATTTTTGTAGTTACTTGTAGAATGTGGTTGATTGATTTAAAATTACTGCGTATTAAGGAAGTGCTATGTACAAAGAAAAATCAGAAATAATATCAAGTCCCATAAAAAGCTCAGTCTGGACCTTAGGGCATGAGCTATTTTTATTGTGTATGGTAAATGTCACATTTCTGGGGTTTATATCCTGGGTACTGACAAAGATTTTTTGCTTGACCAGACTGTAGTCAGACTCCTAGGCCAGTGCTCGCCAACCTTTCGGACCTCATGGACCACTGTTTGGCAACTGCTGTCCTAGGCCATCTGTGCGCTTTTTGTAAAATCCAGTTTTAGCAGGAGGTCTGCTGACTCAGTTGAACCAGAACCCCCTGCCCTCGATATCTGATGTCTGGTCACCCTCAGTATCTGATCAACTTCCTCAGCGTCCACAAGAACCCTGTTAGATTGGTTTAGCCGGAACTGCCCACTTCCCTTACCTCTGATGTTTCTCTTAGTGATTTTCCATCCACTGACTCCACCCTGTTCCTGGATATACATTCCCACTTGCCCATGTTGTATTGGGGTTGAGTCCAGTCTCTCTCCCAGACTCTCAAATCCCATTGCAGTGGTCCCTAACCCTATCACAACGGTCCTGCATGAAGCCTGCCATACCATCTTTAAAAGTGGCATTGGACTTTTTCTTTTCTCCAGTAAAATCCGAGATATGTCCATGTCAGAGCTGTCACAGAAGCTGTCAGGCAAGCCCAGGGTTTAGGCCTGGGCTATAGGCTTCCAGGGACGAGAGTAATCATGTCCCAGACAGAGTTTGCATCTTCCTGAATCTGCTACACTCACCACCCAGAGGGGGAACTAACCAAACACCAGAAACAACTACGAAACCACACTTATGCCCATTGAGGCTCCACAGGGTAAGACAGGAAACATTTCTAGCCTTTGACTTCAGAGATGTAACCGAGCAGGGATAGCCAAGTGTCTAACCCCATTTATGAAAAAGTAACTTTTGAAATTTTATTGAAGGCACCTTTTGCAAAGTCTGTTTCTACTTGTGACTCTGTTCACTTTTCTCAGATAATGATTGGAACAGTTATTGAGATATAATTTATGTGTCATAGTTTACCACTTTCAAGTGTACAATTCAGTGGTCATTAATATATTTACCGATTTGTGCCAACTCTCACCATAATCTAAAAAAAACTTCCATCACCCCAAAAGAAGTCTTGTATCCTTTCAGCATTCCAGCCCTAGGCAGCCACTAATCTCCTTTGTGTCTCTACAAATTTGCCTTTTCTAGATATTTTATATAAATGGGATCATACAATGGGTGCTCTATTGTGACTACCTTTTTTGACTTACCATAATGTTTTTGATGTTGGTCTATGATGTAGTTTATATAAGTACTCCATTCCTTTTTATTGATGAGTAATAAATCATCGTGTGGGCTTGGTTTATCCATTTTGTTATCATTCATCGGTTGATGGACATTTGGTTTGTTTCCACATTTTGGCTATTATGAATAATGCTGCAATGAATATTTGTGTACAGGTCTTGGCATGGAAATATCTTTAATTTCCCTTTGGTACAATAGATTTGCTGGGTCATATGGTAACTCAATGTTGAACATTTGAGGAACGAATTTCCTATCAATTTATTCCCCAAAGGACTTTTCTTAGCCCATATTCTGTTACTTTCAGTGTTTACATAACACTATTTCTTTAACCATTATCTCCATTCATTTAACGAACATGTATTAAGTGTCTAGTGCAGTGATGGCGAACCTATGACACGCGTGTCAGAGGTGACACGCGAACTCATTTTTTTGGTTGAATTTTCTTTGTTAAATGGCATTTAAATATATAAAATAAATATCAAAAATATAAGTCTTTGTTTTACTATGGTTGCAAATATCAAAAAATTTCTATATGTGACACGGCACCAGAGTTAAGTTAGGGTTTTTCAAAATGCTGACACGCCGAGCTCAAAAGGTTCGCCATCACTGGTCTAGTGGGTGCTGGGAAATGTGCTAGGTTCTAGGGAGACTATGGTGGACTAGATAGGCATTGATTCTGTCTCTCCCAGATCTTCTGTCTCTCTCAGATCTTACCATCTGGCAGGGGAGGCAGAGAAGTATATAACGATATTAAGTTAGTGTGAGATATGCTGTAATAGAGGAAATACAGTGTACAATGGTGTTTATAGGAGAGGTACCTGCCATTTCTTCTTATTTGGTGTTTTAGCAATTTAGATGAAAGCATTTCATGTTCCTCATTGATTTCCAGTAGTTGGTATTACCAGTTGTTGATATTTTAGAGCCTGATTTTTTTATACTAAGATTCCTAATATTGTTATGTCTGGGTAATCTATTTTTTAAAAAAATATATTTTTATTGATTTCAGAGATGAAGGGAGAGGGAGAGAGAGATGGAAACATCAATGAGAGAGACACATTGACTGGCTGCCTCCTACACACCCCCTACTGGGGATAGAGCCCACAACCTGGTCATGTGCCCTGACCAGGAATTGAACCCGGGACCTCCTGGTCCATGGGACAACGCTCAATCCACTGAGCCACAGCAGCCGGGCCAGAGAATCAATTTTTATTAAATATCCATAGTACAGATTGCATACTTAAAAATAACATGAAAGAATAATTGATAATAACTGTTAGAAACCTTTTAACATCCTTTAAAATGTTTGAGAAGAGAATAGCTAGCATGGTGCTTGATAAACACTGTAGTACAGGGGTCCTCAAAATTTTAAACAGGGAGCCAGTTCACTGTCCCTCTGACTGTTGGAGGGCCGGACTATAGTTTAAAAAAAAAACTATGAACAAATTCCTATGCACACTGCACATATCTTATTTTGAAGTAAAAAAAACAAAACGGGAACAAATACAATATTTGTATTTGCATGTGGCCCGCGGGCCGTAGTTTGAGGACCCCTGCTGTAGTATTTAAAGAAAATGTTTATTGAATGAATAAAAGTGTGAGTATACAGATTTTTCATGCTCCATAAAAGTATGAATATATTCAGATTTTTCATGCTCCATAAAAGTATGAATATATTCAGATTTTTCATGCTCCATAAAAGTATGAAATTGTCAGACAGTAGGCTCATCCTCTTCTTTCTTGCCTTCCTCTCTGTATTTTTTGCCAGGATATGGCACAGAGCTGTACGCACACACAGAGGATGAGCACTGAGTGACTAAATGTGTGGATTTTATGGATTTTAGCTTCACACTTGACCATGCAGATTGATTATGAACGAAGTTGACTGCAACACTTTCTTTGATTTCTAGGACTTGTCACAAGGCTGCGGTACCCAGTCAGTGCAAAGGAGAAGAAGGCGCCCACCACTGCGGGATTCAGCTACGGTAACTCGTGTTGTCGTTGCCCTGCAAGGTTTCCCTGAAAAGAAGCCACCATCACAAGGCCAGTTTAGATGTGTAGCATGCCACACCGTGGAACTGTTTGTAGAAGTTTTGTAGTCTGGGTTTTTAGATGATTATACTGAACAGCTGTCGTTACCCTCGGTTTTCTGTTTTCATCATAGTCATAATTCAGCAGAAAACTCTCTGTCAATGGAAAATTAGTCACCATCTTACATCTAAATGAATCAGAGCCTTTCCTGGCTTTCACTGGCTTTGTTGGTTACTCCCAGAAAAGTAAGGATGGTGATAACAGAGAAGGCATCCCACTTGATTGTCTTTGTTGCTTCCGGCAAAAACCTTTTAAACAGCAGGTTAAATTATTTCCAAACTTGCTGGAATTGGAAAAAAGACAAAACAACAAAAAAATAAGAGGGGAAAGAGTGGTAAAGAGGGATTTTTTTTTTAAGGTTTAACTTTCAAGCTCTGTTATTATCCGCCTATTTATTATGCAGCATCTTCTTGCCTTCTTCAGTTCACTTTGCTTGTATTGTGACAACTTAGAAAGAGGTACATCTTCCTCGGAGGGTGGAAAGCCATCATTTGCGGTTAAATTTTTTTTTTATCGGGGTGACACTGGTTAACAAAAGGTGCAGGTTTCAGGTGCACAATTCTGCAACACGTCATCTGCACACTGTATTGTGTGTTCACACTCCAAGTCAAGTCTCTGTCCATCACCATTTATCCTCCTATACTCTCCTCCACCTCCCTCTCCCCCTGACAGTCACCGCACTGTTGTCCATGTCCATCACACATGTGCAGTTTCCATGCAGGCTGCAAGTTTGCTCTGTTTCACCAGTCATTGTATTATCCTGTGACTGTGAGATGGACATTGGTTATCATTCTTTATTTCCCACTGATTTGTGCTGTGTTCTCCTTATGAGATTTTATCACTTTCCCCGTCTGTCTCACAGAAAAATGGGAGATCAACCCTTCAGAGCTGACCTTTATGAGGGAGCTGGGGAGTGGACTGTTTGGAGTGGTGAGGCTTGGCAAGTGGCGCGCTCAGTACAAGGTAGCGATCAAAGCTATTCGGGAAGGCGCGATGTGTGAGGAAGATTTTATAGAAGAAGCTAAAGTGATGATGTAAGTTACTGTGTTCTTTCCCGTTCCCCTTTTTGCATTCAAGTGTCCCCTCCCCAGCATGAGCCCTGGTGGTTTCTTTTCCTGTAGTAACTGTGTGTGCGCATGACTTCCCTTCCAGGAAACTGACACACCCGAAGTTAGTGCAGCTTTACGGTGTATGCACCCAGCAGAAGCCGATTTACATCGTTACCGAGTTCATGGAGAGGGGCTGCCTTCTGAATTTCCTCCGACAGAGACAAGGGCATTTTAGTAGAGATGTGCTGCTGAGCATGTGTCAAGATGTGTGTGAAGGGATGGAGTACCTGGAGAGAAACAGCTTCATCCACAGAGATCTGGTAAATTATGAACTATCCGATTCCCCTTCATTGTCCAAATTCCTTCGTAACGTGGGGTCCGCCAATGAGCAATGATCTGTTAATACCCAATTTTTGTTCTCAACAATATTTCACTATTATTTTAAAACTTGGTAAGTTTAATGTGCCATAATTTTAACAGAAAGATCTTTTTAAAATCTAATATATATAATACACTAGAGCAGTGGTTCTCAACCTTCCTAATGCTGCGACCCTTTAATATAGTTCCTCATGTTGTGGTGACCCTCAACCATAAAATTATTTTCGTTGCTACTCATAACTGTAATTTTGCTACTGTTATGAATCGTAAAGTAAATATCTGATATGCAGGATGTATTTTCATTGTTACAAATTGAACATAATTAAAGCATAGTGATGAATCACAAAAACAATATGTAATTATATATGTGTTTTCCGATGGTCTTAGGCGACCCCTGTGAAAAGGGTCATTCGACCCACAGGTTGAGAACCACTGCACTAGAGGTCTGGTGCATGAATTCGTGCACGGGTGGGGTCCGGCTGGCCTGCCCCAATGGGGGCTGATTGGGTTGGGCTGGGGGAGGGGACACAGGAGGTTGGCTGGCCAGCCTCGCCCCTGATTGGGGTGAGCGGGGCTGGCCAGGGGCAGGGGCCATGGGTAGTTGGCTGGCTGACTCTGTCCCTGATTGGGGTGGGGGGACTGGTGGGGGAGAGGAGCCAGCAGTGGGAGGGGCTGTGGGTGGTTGGCCGGCCGGCCCCCACCCTTGATCGAGGTGAGGGGGCCCAATCGGGGGCAGGGCTGGCTGGGGGATAGGGCTATGGGAGGTTGGGGGGGCGGAGGTTGGGCTGATCGGGGCCCAGATGGGGCCCATTGGCCGCCACAGTGCACGTCATAGTAACCAGTCGTTCTGGTCATTCTGCTGTTCCAGTTGCTGGGCTTTTATATATATAGATGATTACATAGGCAGTTGTATAAATAATACATAATGACATAGGCAATATGTCCCAGCAAGCTACCATGCATAGATTCTTTGATCTCCATAAGAATCTCATGAAATAGCTAATCATGATAGTGTTTCTGACCATCATTCTTTTATAGATAAGAAAATTAGCTTTAAGAGACATGAAACAACTTGCAAATGGTGATAAATTAGGAAGTTAAGCTTGACTCATGTTTTAACTAAATACTAAGCTGTTTTCCACCTTACACACTATCAGCAGAAATGATATAACAGAAATCCTTGCTTTATTTTTTTTTTAATCTCTCAAAAGATGGAACCCATGTTAATTCCTGAAAATACCAGAAAAAGTAAATCTTTTATTATTGGTTCTAAATGATTGTGATGGAGACATTTCTTAATTTTTACTCTCTCTTACTCATTTGCCCTCTCTGTCTCATTCTTTTCTTTCTCTTTTTCTTCTCTGCTTTTTCTCCCAAATGTGTCTATTGGTAGAACCACCAGTTCCCTAAAAGCACAATTTTATTCTCTGCTTTTTTTTTAGTTTTGACTTTTTTAGATTCCACTTCTAAGTGATATCAAGGTACCTGTCCATGCATATTGTCACAAATGCCAGGATATCTTTCTTTCTCATGGGCTGAATAATATATATTCATTGTATATATACTGCATCTTTTTAAAAATCTACTCATTCATTGATGAACATTTGGGTTGTTTCCATATCTTGGCTAATGTGAATAATGCTGCAATAAACATGGGTGTTCATGTATCTCATCAAAATCTTGTTTTCATTTCTTTTGAGTATACAGCCAGAAGTGAAATTGCTAGATCATTCAGTAGATCTCTTTTTAACTTTTTGTTTTCATAGTGGTTGGACTCATTTAAATCCCATTAATTTACATGCACAAGGGTTCCCATTTCACCATATCCTTGCTGCTTGTTGTCTCTTGTCTTCTTGATGATAGCCATTCTAACAGGTGTAAAGAGATATCTCATTGTGGTTATGATTTGCATTTCTCTGATGATAGTGGATGTTGAATATCTTTTCATGTTCCTGTTGGCCATTTTGATGTCTTTGGAAAAATATCTATTTAGTTCTTCTGCCAATTTTTAAATTGGTTTGTTGTTCTTTAAATATTTTGAATATTAACCCCTTATCCAATATGTGGTTTGCAAACATTTTTTCTCATTATGTAGGCTATCATTTCACTTTGTTGATTATTACTTTTGCCATCCAAAAGCTCTTGAGTTTGATGTAGTCCCATTTGCTGATTTTTGCTTTTGTATTTTTGGTGTTATGCAAAAAAAAAGAAAAATTGCCAAGACCAATGTTAATGAATTTCTTCCCCATGTTTTCTTCTAGGAGTTTTATGGTATCAGGTCTTATGTTTAAGTCTGATCCATTTTGAGTTAATTTTTGTGAGATAGAGGTTCAATTTCACTGTTGTATATGTGTTTCCCCAGTTTTCCTAGCACCATTTGTTGAAGAGACTATTCATCCCTAATTGGGTGTTCTTGGCTCCCTTGTGGCATATTAGTTGACTGTAAATGCCAGGATTTAATTCTAGGTTCTCTGATCTGTTCCATGGTCTATTTTATGCCAGTACCATACTGTTTTTATTACTGTGGCTTTGTAGTATAGATTAAAATCAAGAAGGGTGATACCTCTGGCTACGTTCTTTTTTGCTTTGGCTATGCAGGGTCTTTTGTGGTTCCACACAAATTTTAGCGCTACGGTGTCGGGTGAATTTCCCGCCAAAATATAAGATGGCGCGGGCAATTATTTAGGTTTCCCGCGCAAAATCAGAGTTAGTTAAAATGCCTATATCTTTTGAAGTATG